GCGTTTTATAAACTTTTTACGTGTATCTGGGCACTTAATAGCATCGATTCCATTAAAACTTAGAGTTTCTCACGTCACTATTAAAAAAGCTTCTAATTAAAAAGCAATGTTAGAAAAAAGTTCTAAAAGTTGAGACAGGTATAAAAATAGATCCAACTGGTAAGGGACTGTTGATGACCCACTATTACATTATCTAAGGTCCGCTAATACAGTAAATATAATACAGACAACAATGGAACGATGATTACCGAGGATTTGATTACTTCCCCTGAATTACAATAATTATCATTACAATAACAAGCTTTGACGTTAATACCGTTATAACGAGTATCTTCACAGTATTCTTCTGATAGTTGACGACAACCACGCGATACTTCCACTATACGAACAGACCCCTCTGAAATTAACAAAACAATATTATTAGTAGAGTTTACATGGGAAATGACTGTTGAAATTTTCCTTCATTCGGATTATGTATTATTGTATGAAGGACCACATATAAAGAATATGGACTTTACCCCAAAATGGTTCCCCTGCTAGTGACACAGGTATAAGGGACTGACATTATAATAAGTTAGTCATTTAAGGCTACACTACTGATAATATTAGTGTGTGTCATCCTTAGATAGGACAATAAACAAAGACCAATATGTGCTACAGATTGTGGAGCGTGCGTTCAAGGTAACTCGGGTAAGCTAATACCACTTTCCTGACTTTCACTACAAACTTTGAAAAATGCTTTTGAAAATTATTCTCATTGCACACTGCCTGTCAATGGTAGCCCAGAAAGGAAGATGTAAAACTCCATTTCATTAGCTCTTGTCATGTAGACTCCTTTGGATATTCGGCAAATTACAGACACCTGCCTGCTATAATATGGTGTGATACTTGCTAGTGGGTAGAAAGGTCAAAAAGAAAATGTCAGAATAAATAGAGACCAGATGTACACTGAGTATTTTACACCTTGACTGACCGACGAGCTACTCTCCTTATCCTACTTTTTATATTTCATATAACGTAAATAGGAAATACCATAAGCTGGACTCTCTTAAAGGGATGTGGAGTTGACAAACCCAAATTTCAAATAAACAATATTAGCTATGTGGACTCTCTGAAAGGGATGTTTATTTGATAAACCTAAATATCAAATAAAAATATTAGCTAAGTGGACTCTGAAAGGAATGTTGATTTGATAAACCTAAATATCAAATAAAAATATTAGCTATGTGGACTCTCTGAAAGGAATGTTGATTTGATAAACCTAAATATCAAATAAACAATATAAGCTAAGTGAACTCTTCCACACATACAGACTTTCTATCAGTGTGATACAATGTATGTGTGATAGGAACAGTTCATTTTAAAAATCAAGGGGGTTTCCACAACTTATAGCCCCTGTTTTTCCAAATATCTTCAGAAAAGAATTCATCATAAATGTGGAAATATTTAATTTAATCTGATATGATGCCCTGCTTTCTCTGAAAAGTTGTTGGCCCAAGTGTGCTGTTTCTCAATGTAAAAGTCTGCAACAACAAAGGTTAGATGTTGATAAAGAAGCTCTTACCCCAACGCTCTCCTCTATATCTGTAACAGGTTCCATCACAATCCCTAGCTTCTGTATTGGGCACTAGGAAATTATCCCCACATCGATTATCACGAATTGAAGAACAGGTATAACATTTTATGCACAAACCTGGAAATGATAGAGTAACGATTGTTACAAACAGTACATTTAATGTAAAAAATTTACCTTAATTTGACAATAGTTTGAAGAATTTTCATGTTCAAATTCACAGAGAAGTTTGTTTTCTCAATGGTGAAATTACCTGAACTGATATTTCTATTTATCTGAAGACATACTAAGACACGAGTCTACTTTGTTAAAAAAAAAAAAACATTTTGAACTGTTGTGAAATGACAGCTAAAATTGAATTAAAAAATCACTGCGGTCTGGTTTTGAATTTCAATTTGAAACAGTGATTTCTATTAAGCCCTACGTAATTATCTGCCAATACATTAAACATTTCTTAATTTCTTCGACTTTAAAAATGATATTTGTATTTTAAGAAACCTCTTCTTAACTTTTATCGCAAAGCAATAAACCGTAATACCTGTGTAAATATTATTGTTATTATCTCCCTTGAATGACTAATTACAGGTGTGACAACTTACCTGTGCTAATTAAAGTCAGGATTAAAGAAATAAACAAAGTAATCTGCACTAATCCCATTATCACAGTTTATTCCAGCGCGGTTCGTCTGATACTCTAACCAAGGCGTGTTCTAAATCGTGATTTCCACCAAGTAAAAGACATAGCGGGGCGGTCAGTCCAAACGTTGAAATTACTTCCACCTGTTTTTTATCGTGAAATCTTGTCACCAGATGTCGCTAGTTAGTAGTCGTGATTATACCAGTGTACAGGTAAGAATAGTCGCGATTAACTGATATTTAAAGACCGGAAAGCGAGACCGCGAATATCTTCTCCCAACCCCCTTAAGATTAAGGTTGGTGGTTGGTTGGTAGGTGACAAGTTAACGTTCGCTTCCAGCGGATGCTGATATCGCAAACTAGGTAGTTGTTGGTAGTCGTAGTAGTTGGTAGTTGGATTGGATCAAATTGGATGATTCGGTGTTGTTGGTTTGGTTGTTGATTCTTCGTTAGATCTGGTCGGGTGGAATGACATGGCGGTGAAACTCGGCCCTGGATGGTGTGGCGTGAGTTACTCGGTCTCCTTCATTCTTCCATACTCGTTCTGATCATGGTATTTCTTGTTGATTGGTAGTCGAATGGTAGTCGTTGGTTTGGTTTGGTTTGGTTAGATTATCTGTTATCTGTTGGAAAACTCGAAGACCTGAAAAAAAAAGAAAAAAAAAGAAAGTGAGAAAAAGATGGAGGAAAGAAGGGGGGGTTGGGGGGGGGGGGGGAAGCTTTCACAAAAGGGGGGAGAGATGTTCTCTAATGTTTCTGCGATGAAACTTGTTAAAGTGATTGGATATAATTAAAAAGTGTTAAGAAACTTTGATAAAAAAAAATCTTAGCCTATCTGTTCAAGACAGATTTGGTTATAAAATGGAAGACTAGTTCCATTATCGTATACCAGTGGTCCGTGGGTGGAGCCAAAACATTCTGTATGGTTAGTGGTATGCCGTTGGTTTCCAGGTACTCTAGTAGTGGCTTACGAGCGGGTTTCAATTCAGTGCATGAATGAGGATATGCGACCT